CACCCTGGCGGAGGCCCGCGACATGGATATGGATTGGCATGGGCTATCGGCAAATGCACCTGACGGACATGAGACCCATTCAAATTGAAATTCACGTGAAATTGTTAGACTCGCAAAGATGCAGAGCACGGCTTCCCAAACCCATCAAACATGTAAACGCCGCGTTCGGGGCGTGGCCGGCGGGAATGCTGGCGCTGGCCTTCAAGGGGCCGCAGAGCCTGACGAAAAGACGCGTCCCAAAGAAGGGGGCGGCCGATGGGTGGACGCCTGCCCACCCCAAGAGGTGGAGGGCGAGAACTGAGGCACGGCTGCGGGCCCGCAGCTCTCGTCTTGTCTCGGCGGAGCGGCGGCAGGCTGCGGCAGCGGCGCTGTGGCAAGCACCACGGGAGCAACTGCAGGCGGCCCGACCTGGTATGAATGAGAGCCCCAAACACAGACAGAAAGAAAGCATGGAGAGCGCGACCGCCGGACGATATTCTGATGCCATGAGGACCGAGAAGGACGAGACGGGGAGGAGCGGCGGGAAGCGGAGACGAGGGAGCGAGGGGGGGGGGGGGGGGCAAGGGGCGGGACGGGGAAGGCTGGAAGTGCTGCCGCGAAGCAGGGCAGGGGGAGGGGGCAGAGAGAGAGCGAGGGGGCGGGAAGGGAAAAGAGACCATATGGGGGGAGGTGAGACCGACGAGAAGGGAGGGGAGGGAGGTGGAGGACAGGGAAGGGGGAAGGGGGGGAAGGCGGGCAGGGAGGGAGTGGGGTGAAGAGAGAGGAGGACACGGAGTGTGTGGATGAGAACGCCCCTGCGTCTCTCCAAGCCCCCTGCGGAGCACGCACCCCTCTGCTTATAAACCCGGCGGCTGCCGGCAGGCATACAAAGACGCATTGCGGGGCAAAAGGTTTCGCGGGGAACCAAGAGAGGAAACCAGGGAAATCCCCAGAACTCCCAGGGTTGCCGTGAGGGTGCCCGACGATAACACAGGGTCTGATTGTATCATTATAGAAATTGTTATTAGGGGAGGATGAGGGGGGACGCCGACGACGACCAGCGGCAGCAGGGCACTCGACCAACCCAACATCGTTCGTCTCCACCCTCCTCATGCTGCTCCTGCACCTTCCCCACATCCTCAATTCTGTTCCTGCCTCCTCCTCCCCCTCCTCATGATCCATCTCTCTTTTGCCGCCCTCCTCCTCCCCCTCCTCATGATCCACCTGTCTTTCGCCTGCGGCAGCTGTCTTCGCGCTTCGTGCTCCGCGAAGCGCGATCATCTTCGCACTTTCGTGCCGCCCCCCCTGGAACAGGAAGAAGGCCTCGCGCATCGCGCTGAAACCGCCCAGACCCCGAAGCGCGACTGTCTTCGCAGCCCCGCGGTGGCCCTACAATCGAGGTCGATTGGAGAAGACACGCGAGAGGACGCAAGACCCTCCCGAAAACCACACAGCCATGCTTAGGAATGTCGGAGGCATGGGCCACGAAGCACAGGACACAAGGGTGCCCTTGAATTGGTAGGCTCGACCTACTGAGAAAGGCCGTCTGTATTTCGCCGCCCTCCCCACCTCCCTCCCCCCGCCATCCTCACCGCCGCCGCCGTCGCCGCTTCCATCAACGCTGCCGAGGCTACCGTCCCCCAAGGCCGCCGCGGCCCCCGCCGCCGCTTCCGCGGCCGCTCCCGACGCCGCCGCCGCCAGCTCCGCCGCCCCGTCCGCCGCCGCCGCCGCCAGCGCCGCCGCTGCCCTCGTCGACCCGAGAACTCCATCTGACAATTTTTCAGCATCCGGGGGCCCTCACCGGGCCCCCGGGGCCGTCCAGCAACGACTCTGGACGCAGAGCCGGCCCTGGGGAACATGTCCAGACCTCAAGGGGCCCCGCATTGAATTGGGCCTCCACCCTCGCCGCCGCTGCCGCCACCGCCGCCGCCGAGGCCCTCGTCGCCGCCGCCGCTGGGCGCGATGACGCAACCGACGAGGCTGCGCGGCGGCTCCGCCGCCCTCATCGCCACTCTGCCGCTGCAGCCGCCTCGGCCGCCGCCGCCGCCTCCGCCGCCCACGCCGCCACCGTGCTGGCGCTTCGGCCGCCGTGCCGCCGCCGCCGCTGCCGCCGCCGCCACCGCCGCCGCCGCCGCCGCCGCCGCCGCCGCCGCCGCCGCCGTCGGCCGCCGCCGCCGCCCGCCGCCGCCGCCGCCGCCGCCGCCGCCGTCGTCGTCGTCGTCGTAGTCGTCGTCGTCGTCGTCGTCGTCGTCGTCGTCGTCGTCGTCGTGCCGCTGCCGCCGCTTCGGCCGCCGCTTCGCGGCCTGCGGACGATCGCCGACACCGACGAGGCCGCGCGGCGGCCGTCGCTCGCCGCGGCGGAGGCGGGCTGCCGCCCCCGAGGCAGCGGGGGCCACGCGGCGATCCTCGCAGGGGCGGGCCGTCAAGGCGAGGGAGACGTCCTCGTCCTCGCCCTCGCTCTCCAAATACTCCTCCTCCTCCTCCTCCTCCTCTACCCCCATCCTCCCCCCATCCTCCTCCTCCTCCTTCCTCTTCCGCTTGTCCTACTCCTCCTCATCCTCCTCACTCCTCCCTCCTCTTTACCTCATCAGATTCTCCTGTTCCTCCTCCTCCTCCTCCTCCTCCTCACCACCACCACCACCACCACCACCACCATCCTCCTCCTCATCATCAGCAGCATCAGCATCATCACCATCATCATGTTCTTCCTCCTCATCCTCCTCATCCTCCTCGTCCTCCTCCAACTTCTCATCCACCTCCTTTCCTTCCTGTACCTCATCTTACTCCTCCTCCTCCTCCTCCTCCTCCTCCTCCTGCTCCTCTACCTCATCCTACTCCTCATCCTACTCATATGTTTCATTACATATCGTCCTCCTTCTCCTCCTTTTCCTCCTTTTCCTCTTCCTCCTCCTCCTCCTCCTTCTCCTCCTCCTCTTCCTCCACCTCTACCTCATCTTACTCCTCGTCCTCCTCCTCATCTCCTCCTTCTCCTCGGATTCCCAAGAAGCCAGAGAGGCTTCTCGTCGTCGTCGTCGTCGTCGTCTTCGTCTTCGTCGTCGTCGTCGTCGTCGTCGTAGGTGGCGGCGGCGGCGGCGAGGGGGGTAGGGGGGCGACGGGGGGCGACACGGAGGCCCACGAGGCATCTCCTCGAGGCCTTCCTCCTCATCTTCTTCTTCTTCTTCTTCTTCTTCTTCTTCTTCCTCCTCCTCCTCCTCCTCTACTACCTCATCTTCCCCCTATTCCTCTTCCTCCTCCTCCTCATCCTCCTCCTCCTCCTCATCATCATCTTCTTCCTTCTCCTCCTCCTGATCCCCCTTCTCCTCTACCTCATCATATCTCTCTTCCTCCTGTTCCTCCTTGTCCTCCTCCTCCTCCTTTTCCTCCTCCTCCTCCTCTACCTCATCATTATCCTGTTACCCCTCCTCCTCCAGCTTCTCCTCCGCTTCCTCCCCTTCCTGTACCCCATATTACTCCTCCTCCTCCTCCTCCTCCTCCTCATCGTCCTCCTCCTTCTCCTCCTGCTCCTCTACCTCATCCTACTCATCCTACTCATCTTCTGTGTCTTACTCCTCCTCCTCCAATTCCTCCTCCTCCACCTCATCTTACTCTTCCTCCTCCTCCTTCTTTTCCTTCTCCTCCGCGGATGCACAAGAAGCCAGAGAGGCCTCTCGTCGTCGTCGTCGTCGTCGTCGTCGTCGTCGTCGTTTTCGTCATCGTCATCGTCGTCGTCGTCGTCGTCGTCGTCGTCGTCGTCGTCGTCGTCGTCGTCGTCGTAGGTGGCGGCGGCGGTGGCGGCGTCGGCGAGGGAGGTAGGGGGGCGACACGGAGGCCCACGAGGCCTCTCCTTGAGGTCTTCCTACGGGGTCCGAGCAGATGGGGTCGGAGGATTGCGCTGCATCGCCGATGCATCGCCAAGGCGTCGGCGACGCCTCGACGATGCATCTGCGACGTCGGCGATGCGTCGGCGGCGTCGGCATGGAACACGCCGGGCTCCAAATCGAGCCGCATCGCGGCGCGACTCTCAGACCCCATCTACTTCGAACCCACTTGGAAGCCCAGATCCCAGGGTGGCCCCAGGAGCCTCCCGGGAGACCCCAGAGGCGCGGCACTGCAGTTCCTCCCGCCAGCGCATAGGACGCGCTGGAGCACCACGAGAGCCGTCGCACGTTGGCTTCGGGGAGTGAGCCCCTCTGCCTGGGATTTACAGTGTGGGCTCGGCCACAAGAAACCTCCGCAAGAAACCCAACCCTGAAATACGCGATTTGTTCAGTGAAAATCCACATGTGTCGATCGAAAATCGTCAAGATCTGATTGGGAGCCCATCAGAATCCAAGAAACCCAGGGCACCCTGGCAAAATCCAACTGGTTTCTTGGCACGCGCCCCCACTGTAACCCTTCTGCCGGGGACTGCCTTCTTCTCGGCGGGAAGAGGGGCCGGGCCCGAGCGCGCGGGGAAGGAGGCGGGGGGGAGGGGGGAAGTCAGCAACAGGGACGGAATAGTCCAGCATGGAAGAGGCAGCGGAATGAGGCCCGTACCCCACGACAACCAGGGGCAGAATCCACGTGCTCGCCCACACACCCCGTCCTACGTCACGCGCGGCGCAAGTCCAAAGCAACTGTGGACTCCAATCATACAACGTCCGAACTTTTTCAGTGCGGCGTCCTTGGAAGTCCCGACACTTTCCCCGGGAACGGTTTTTTTGCATCTTGAGTCGTTTTTTGACGATCCTGAGGCCTGGAGAGGGCCCCCAGGGACAGAGAAGAAAGAAAAACCTCCCGTCCTGATTGCTCCCGACCATCCTGTGGCGTTGGGTCCACGTTTTGAATCACCCTCGCGTCCCTCTCCAGCTCCTTCTTCTCCTCCTCCCCCTCCTCCCTCCTCCCTCTCCTTGCCTCTGACCTTCTCGTTACCATCGCTATCATCACCATCATCATCATCATCATCATCATCATCATCATCATCATCATCATCATCATCATCATCATCATCATCATCATCCTCACCATCATCAGCAGCAGCA